CAAGTATCTCTTCATTAGTGATACCTCCCCATATCTGACATAGGCTACTTTTCATAGATTGAAGCAATTCCTATCAAGATACCAATGGAGTATTACACAGAACTAAAACAAATATTCCAAAATTTTATGTGGAACCACAAAAGACCCAGAGTAGTCACAGCTATTCTGAGTAAGAACAAAGTTGGAGGAATCATGCTACCTGATATCAAACTATACTGTAAGGCCACAGTAATCAAAACAGCTTGGTACTGACATAAAAACGGACATATAGATCAATGGAACAGAATAAAGAGTCCAGGAATGAACCCACACCTTTGTGGTCAATTCATATTTGACAAATGAAGCAAGAACATACAATGGGACAAAGATAGTCTGTTCAATAAATGTTGTTGGAGAAATTGGACAGATATGTGCAAACAAAGGAAACTAGACCACCTTCTTACACTATACACAAGAATAAACTCAAATTGGATTAAAGACTTTAGATGTTAGACTCGAAACCATAAAAATCCTAGAAGAAAACACAGGCAGTAAAATCTTGGACATTTCTTGTAGCAATATTTTTTATGATATATCTCCTCAGGCAAGGGAAACAAAAGAAAAAATAAGCAAATGGAACTATATCAAACTCGAAAGTTTTTGCATGGCAAGGGAAACCATCAACAAGATGAAAAGACAACTCACTGAATGGAAGAACATATTCACCAGTGATACAGCTGAAAAGGGGTTAAAAATTTTATAAAACAAGCAATCCAATTAAAAAATGAGCAAAGGACCTGAATAGACACTTTTCCAAAGAGGACATACAGATGGCCAATACACATATGAAAAGATGCTCAATGTTACTAATCATCCAAGAAATGCAAATTAAAACCACAATGAGTTTATCATCTCACACCTGTTAGAGTGACTATCATCAATTAATCAACAAGTGTTAAGGATCTGGAGAAAAGGAACCTGTTATGCACTATTGGTGGGAATGCAGACTGGTGCAGCCACTCTGGAAAACAGTATGGAGTTTCCTCAAAAAATTAAAAATGGAACTGCCTTATGATGAGTGATTCCAATTCTGGGAATTTGTCTGAAGAAACCCAGAACACTAATTCAAAAGAATATATATATCCCTATGTTTATTGCAGCATTATTTGCAATAGCCAAGATCTGGAAGCAGCCCAAGTGCCCATCAGTAGATGAGTAGATAAAAACACTGTGGTACATTTACACAATAGAATACTACTTGGCCATAAAAAAGAAAGAAATCTTACCCTTTGAGACAGCATGGATGGACCTGGAGAGTATTATGCTAAGTGAAATAAGCCACTCAGAGAAAGACAAGTACCATGTGATTTCACTTATATATATGGAATCTAATAAACTAAAACAAAATATAAACAGACTCATAGATATAGGGAACAGTGACAGCTGTCAGAGGGGAAAAGGGGTTAGTGGGCTGAGTGGAAAAATGTGAAGAGATTAAGTGAAAGAAAAGAAAAACTCATAGACAGACAACAGTACGGTGATTATCAGAGGGAAAGGGGGTGGAGGGAGGTAGAAGAGGATGAAGGGGGATAAATGGCGATGGAAGGAGACATGACTTGGGGTGATGAACACACAATACAGTATATAGATGGTATATTATAGAATTGTACACCTGAAAGCTATACAATTTTATTAACTAGTGCCCCCCCCCAATAAATTCAATTTAAAAGGCTTTCTTTTAGTATTAGTATTTGAAAAATGGAGTTCTTTGTGTTCACCTACATCCTTACTCATCAATTGGATTAGAATTTGGAGCTATCTACTGCTCTGGATTTTTTTTTTTCTGTTCTACTATTCCTTTGTAGTGTTTCCCATTGTGTGTCTCCACTGCTCACATTCTGCATGTACCCTGTTCTACAGCTCCCCAGACCACTCAGTGTTCTGCCAGATGTCCCTGCCACTGTGACTTCCCTTAAAGTACTTACTTGTGCCCAAGGCCCCAGAGCAGAATGTTTGTTATTGTTGGAATTCTACCCACCCTCTAAGACCCAACAACTCATATGCCAGTTTTTCATGACGCTTCCCCTCTTGAGAGGGAGTTACTTTCTGACTTCTCTGGGCTTTCCCTTTCTCTATTAGGACCCTCACCTCCCCGAGCTGTTGTATTATAGGTATTTGTGGACCTGACCAGGTGCAAAGATCATGGATAGAGCTGTGCCTTGATGATCTCAGCAGTCCTCAAGGCTTAGCAGTGCTGTAAATATATTGAGCATTCAGATGTTTTAAAATTGAAAAACTTGAAATTGAAAGCCTTTTAACTGAAGCTTAAAATAATGAAGAGATCCTTCAGACACTGTCTGTAAAGCAGGCATTCTTTACTACCACGTTTCCAACACCCCCTCCCAATTGAGCATAAACACCAAGTGTCTTTTACCTGAAGATTATTTTCTTCCAGATGGTGATAAAGATGTTTAGTGAGAACACAGTGACCACCAGTTCTTTTGGAAGGCTATGGATTGAAAATTGGTAAACAGAAAATGAATGTAAGTGGAAATTAATCCCTCTTCTGGAGGCAAGGAAGGTGGAAAGCAGACAATGTGGAAATGAAGAGTGCCACGTAGGAGATCATAAGTGTGTACCAAAGAGAACAAAGTGATGTTTAACTTGGAGAAAAGCACAGTGAGCGTAAGAGAATCAATCTTAAATACAAATATTTAAGAAGTCAGTTAAACAGAAAGTTTTACTGTTGAACAAGACTTGGTCTGGGTATTGAAAGGGGTTAATGGTTAACAAGGTAGTCTGGTGTTTGAGCAGTATGATAACCCAGAAGGCCCATGCTGTCCTGTATTTTCAACAGAAGTGGCACAAAGGGAAAGCTGTTACTTGTGTCTGGGTAGAACAAAATTTGAGAGAAAGTATTACATTGATAATACTCCATCTTTGCAGGAGGATGGGCTAGAATCTTATTTGGGGCTATTTTTCTTCTGAAGCTGAGAATGTTTTTAAGATCACTGGGCATTATTTTTGCAATGAGTGGCAATATGTCTCTATAAGGTTTAAAAAGTAAAATGTGCTGCCACTGAAGTTTTGTTGTGTAGAAGCAAAAGATATGTGTTAAAGGCAGAGCTGGAGAGCATGTTAGATAAATTTGCAAGTTCCATTTATCCAAAAGAAAATATTTTGATGCTGTTAATACATGTGCAGTTCATCAGAAGAGATACTACTTCTTGATTAACAGTACATTTGATTAACAGTTAACTACTTGATAAATGAAATATCCAGATACATATTAAGTATTAACTATCTCAGTGACCCACATCATCTACTAAACAATAAATATGTGGGAGGATAAATTGGTGTATGCTTTGGATCGGGTGGTCAAGATTGGTTAAACTGAGATTTAAATGACAAAGGCAGTCATCCATTTGGAGATGCAGGAAGACCTTTCCAGGTAAGTGCAAAGACCGAAAAATGGAAATGAGCTTGGCTTGTTAGAGGACCAAAAGGAAGACGAGTGAGGATGAACTGGAGGGGCCTGGGGCAGTGACAGGACTTGAGACTGGGCAAATCATTCAGTACTTTGTAAGTCAGGATAAGGAAGTTAGATTCAGTACTAAGTAATACGCAAAGCCATTAGTGTATTTTAAGGGGGAAAATATTCTGGCTTGTGGTGAATTGTGGAATAGAGGAAGGCAAGAGGATATGGGGTTGGGAGAAGGCAAGAAGTAGATTGGACCAGCTTTCCAGGACTGGGATGTTAGTAATGGGGATGGAGAGGAATGGATGAACTAAGGATCAGTTTGAGAGAAAGAGGGTGTGGTGAAAGGAGCCAGGTGGGATAAGTCTCTAGGTCTAAGTGGGAAAACATCATTTCCCCTACAGAAACTTTCATTTGTATTCAGGCTGTAAGGACACAAGCCTTTTAAAAAATAGTGTCTTCACAAATCACTGAGGACCTGGCTTACCACCGATTTCTGATGCTGGAGCTATTTCCATAACCAGGAAGCTGCATTTTTCTACTCCTTTACTTTATTCTTTTTGGATATCAGAACTGTGTAGTGGGTTGGAGGGCTTCTGAGGATGATTGAGTTTGTCCTAAGGAAAAGCTGACATGCTGTACACAGCCACGTACCTGGGCAACCTCAAAGTTCAAGGGGAGAGGTAGGGGACCTTAGTGCTAAGGGTCAGGGGTTTTACATACCTTCTTTCACTCCACCCTCCAGATAACTTTGTGAGGTACATCTTTTTAATCCAGTTTTACAAAAGAGAAAAGTGAGGCTCAGACAGGCACCTTCTTTTGCCCAAAGTCACATAGTTTGTAAGTGGTGGAGCCAGAACTAGAACCAGAGCCTGGCTCTCTGCACTCTCCACACCACCCTGAATCTCCTAGTCTGTCTCCCCTTTTTTCTCTTTGTTACTATACAGATTCCATCGTGGGAACCATCCTGGGAAGGCTACAATCTATTCCTGTTTCTTCTATGCACTAGGTTTGCCTCTCCTATCCCACAGCGTGCCTGGTAAGGTGCTAAGGTGCTCAGTGAATATGCCTGCCTGGGAGCAGCACCCCCTTCTTGCTGCCACATATGTAGCTGGGGTGAGAGTCAAGGCAGGACTGGTGAGGGGGACTGGGTTGCCTGCACCCCTGCTAGGAGACGGGGAGGGACTCTTTTGTCTGTGCCTTGCCTCAAAGGCATTTTCCATTTCCTAGCCCCCTCTTGCTCCTCATCCCTCACCTCTCGCTCCTCGACTTCAGCTCAATCCCCTCGGGGAGCGTCCCTTACCGCGGGGCTGACAGCATTTGAGGGCGCAGGGTCCCTGGTCTCCACGCTCTTGCCCGTCTATGAGCACAGCCTCGTTCCGGGGCGCCTGGAGCCTGGCGGGCATTGACGTCAAGCGGCGGCGGATCGCTGCCTACAGACGGTTGACCCAGACCCTCCTCCACAACCCCCACTTCCTTGCCCCCTCCCTCTTCCCTGCACCCGGGATCTGGCTAAGTATAAAAGGTGGGAGCGCAGGGCGCCTCAGCAGCTCCGAGCTTCAGCACCATGGAGAGCACCCGCTTTCGCCTGCTGCCCCTCCTGGGTGCCGCCCTGCTGTTGCTGCTCCCTCTGCTGGGCGCCCATGCCCAGGAGGACGCCGAGCTCCAGCCCCGAGCCCTGGACATCTACTCCACCGTGGAGGACGCCTCCCATGAGAAGGAGCTGGTCGGTATCCCCCATGCCCCAGACTCCCCTGGGCTGCCGCGCGGTCCTTTCCTTTAACCTTCTCTCTTCCCTCCTCCCCAACCCCATTCCCAGAGTCAGGACGCGGGGAGATGAGCGAACAGTCCGGGCTCCCGCTGTAATCCGAAGACTGTCTCGAGCCCACGGGCTCCCGGCAGTCTCTAGAGCGAACCTCTTGTCCCCGCTCCTTAGAGCGAGCGACAGAGCCGCCGAGGCCCCGGGACATGCTGCCAGTACCTGGGACAGCGCTCGCTAAGTTTCCACCCCTCGAGCAACCTTTTTGTCCGCGGAGACCTAGGGCAAAGCGTGCGTGGTTCTAGGACGCATCGCTAGGGCTGAAAGTGGGCACCTGGGCTGGGCTCGCAGCCAAGGCGGCAACTTCGGGTTTGGGGGGGCGGTATGTTGCAGATCGAAGCGCTGCAGGAAGTCCTGAAGAAGCTCAAGAGTAAACGTATTCCTATCTATGAGAAGAAGTACGGGCAAGTCCCCATGGTAAGGCTTTGGAGTTACCCCTTCCCGTGTTTTTCCAAGAGGAAATATACCACCTTCAGTCTTATACACGCCTTCTCCCTAGGATATGGCTAAATCATTCAGGAAATGGGTTTGCAGAATTATGTGCCCCCCCCCCCCCTTTGTTTCCACTGCCCTTGGTCTCTAAGGGCAGAGGGTAGACCAGCCATTTCAGAGGAGTGAACAGCATGTGCCAGGAACCAGCTCTTGGGTCTGCGTGGAAAAAAGCATTTCCTGAATATGAGCTTTTATTTTGCTCACGAAGAATTTGTTCTTGTTCCTCCAATTTTCCTCCTGCCCTTCTGAAGCACTGTCAGTTTTTGATTTAAGTTCTAGGGTCAAAATTCTTAACCAAGGCTGTCACCTTCCATGAAGAAGACACACACACACACACACACACACACACACACACACACACCTTCCTTCTGGGGATGAGGGGGCAGAAAGCAGGGAACAGGGGTTGTGAGAAAATATAATTCTATTGTTGATATTGTTTCATTTGGATGAGCAATGAAAGGGTCCAGGAAATGTAATCCCCCCGCTCCCCTCCCCACCACCAAAGGTGGAAGAAAGTAGGAAGGGCTCAATAATTTAAATTTCTTTTTATGTTCTCTCACTGAAAGTATAAGCACAAAGCTCTCTTCCATTTTAGGCCTGACTATACTTAGACCTCAGGTGTTGATGATAGGGTCCATCCATCTCTCATGAGGCAGAAATTGTGTTGATGGGGAGATGCGCCCTTTGGGTGCCTGGGTTTGCACGTGCCGACGACCACATGCTGTGTTGCTTGCAGTGTGATGCTGGCGAGCAGTGCGCAGTTCGAAAAGGAGCGAGGATCGGGAAGCTGTGCGACTGTCCCCGAGGAACCTCCTGCAATTCCTTCCTCCTGAAGTGCTTATGAGGCATCCGACCTCCTGCATCAGTCCCCACCGCCCCTACTTCCCCGGGAGGACCAAGCCTTCATCCCTGGAGTTGGACCTTAGCAACAAAGTTTGCATTTCCTTCTGAGGGCGACGGGGCTCTTTTCCTGCTGTTTTCAAATAAAAGAACACATTAGGTGTTACTTTGTGAAGGATGTCTTGTATGCTTATATGGTATTGATACACGCAAAAGTATTCTTTCCTTATTTTATTTGACACATTCTTGTGTAAAGTAGGGGAACTTTGTTTTGAAGATTGTATTTTCCTATGTGGCATGGCAGGATAAAAATTAGATGTAGTTAATGTTGGGAGATGATGTCACAACCTGGACAATAAATCGCTCCAAACATCACAAATTGAAGCATGTACAAATTATACATAATAAAGCGTTTTAAATAATTGCTCATAGTGCATTGTTATTTCTACATAAGTAATTTAAATAGCAATGGTGGGATTAATCATGCAGTTGTTTTCAAAGAGAAATATTTAAAAAATAGCAACCTATTGGGAGAACAGCACCTTGACTCCAAGGAGTTTGCAACAAAGTTTGCATTTCCTTCTGAGGGCAAAGGGGCTCTTTTCCCGCTGTTTTCAAATAAAAGAACCTATCAGATGTTGCTTTGTGAAGGATAATGTCTTGTTTGCTTGTATGGTGTTGATATGAAGGCTTGGTCATTAATTATGAGTTTGTCACACAAGCTTTTATACACTCTATTTTCCTTTGATTGTAGTGTTGCTGTGTGTGTGTGTGTGTGTGTGTGTGTGTGTGTGAGATGAGTTGGAGATGGTTGGAGTTGAGCTGATATGATTTTATTTATTAAAATATTTAGTTAGCTCCCTTAATTTGAACAGTGAGAACAATAAAAGATAAATGATTTTGTGCTTTAGCCACATTAAAAACAATTTGAAAAATTAGGACTCTTGTCTACTCTGTTATTACAAAATATATATTGCTAAATGGACTCTATGGGAGTTGTTTGTCAAAAGGAAGGGCAATAGCTATATCAGGTCTAAAAGTGTGAGATCCAGTCATTCCCACTGATAAATACACAATCTTGGGAAAACTTTCTGTTCAAAGGAAAAATAGTCGTTCTAGTAAATAGTTTTGAGGGGAACAAATGAAAATTTATGGGAGCAGATTCAACTCAAGAAATATAAACATTTTAAATGTAAAGTAGCCTTTAAGTATTTCCGAGCACTTCTCTGAGGTCACATTTTTGAGAGTGTAAATTAGACTAAGTAACATTTAAGAAGCAGCATCATGAGAGGAACAGATTCTTACAGTTTCCTAAAGCAAACTCAAGAGACACCTGCATAATAGTAAAGTTACCAAGAAAGTCTTTCCACTGGCTCATGGGGAGATAGAGTGTGCTTAAAGAAAATATTCTCATACACAGTTGCTGTTGTATGTTCTTCTTGTTACTAGTGGCATGGCTAATTCCTTTATTAACCTTGAAAGAGAGATAGTATTACCACTCTTCAGAGGAGGAAACAGAGGCCAACAGAGATAATGGAACATGCTCAAGTCATACAGTCCTAAATCACAATTTCAACTCTAATTGCTCAGACTCCAAAGAGTTGTCTTCTCCTCCACATCTCTCCAAGCATTTGGACAGGCTGTTTGGACTCCCAAGTTCCCCAGAAAATACTTCTTTCTTTAATAGAAATGAGCTCACTGGGGGTATGAATGTATTTTGGGGGGTTACATTTCATTTGAATTTCTCAATGACAGGCTTAGTTGTGATTAAAATGTGTTAATCTTTAAAAACTGCAAAGAGTTATTTATAGTTTCACAGTCTGCTACTTCTCCAAAAGGCATTTCAGTTAAAATCCTAACCTTTTGCTTGACTCTCTTGACGTTCCCACTCACATTAGTGCACAGGCAATACCCTCAAGGATACTGCTCAGCCTGGAATGTTTCTCTGAAAGCAGAGATGCTGGAGGAATCTGTAGGTCAAAGAAAGGAGCAAGAAATCTGCCTTAAACCCCCTGATAAGTCCCCCTGCTCCTGCTCCTACTGCACATCTCTTCTTTCTTGTTTGATATGACCAAAGTGTATGGACTTACAGGGATCTGTGGCCTGGGTATAAAAAGACTTTTTCCAAAAATGTTGTCTAGGGTCCCAGATATTAAGTTTATGTTGCTAATGATGTTCTACACTAACGATGGCAGCATTTAATCTTAAGTGGCTTGTTAGAAGTAACGTTGCCTTCTCATTTTATCAATATTAGAGCTTTTCTTCAATTAGAATGCCTTAGTGTATTTAATGACTGAAGGTCCCTGTGGCAGAAGACAAGAATGTTAAGGACTAAGAAAATTTTAATGGTAAAAGTAGTTTCCCTTGTGTGAGCCCCACAGACCTTCTAAAACTGGCTGAAAGATCAGGGGTCTGAGAGGTGACAAGCAGCTACATCTAAAGGTCTGGGGGATATTATATGGCATAGGAATGACATAACCAGAGCAGTGGTCCTCACAGGAGCCTGGAGATGATATGTGGATGCTACTAGAGGACTTTTTTCAATTAGACACAAACACTTTCCACCCCACAGTGATTACTGATATTATATCCCTCACCCTATACCAGAATCTAAAGGGCTACGAGGGCCATATGGTATATCTGTGTACTCATACCCCCCTCCCAATCCTGACAATGGGACATCTGAATCTGAGTATTGACAAAGAATTTTTGTTTGACCAAAGTTTAGTCAGTTACTTGAAGTTTTTCCTAGGCCCACCTGTGTACTTCCTTGTAAAATCCAGTTTTAGCAAGAGCTCAGCTAATTCAGTTTATCAAGAACCTCTCTCCCTCAATATCTGACCAGGTTCCTCATCCTCCACCATCCCCTAGATGTCTGGTCACTCTGACCTGTTAGGTCAGTATAGACAGACTCCTCCCTTACCCTTAATGTTTCCTCTTAGTAATATTTTATCCATTGACCTCCACCCTACTTCTTGGTTATACATTTCCACTTGCTCAAGGCTGTATTTGGAACTGAGTCCCATTTTGTACTGAAGTCTCTTTTTTTTTCTATTGCAATCGTCTTGAATAAAATCTGTTTTTATAGCCTTAGTTATTGTCCAGCTCTGGTTTTTCTTTGACAGTTAGGGGAATGTAGTTACGGAAGTGTTTTAGGATTGTATAGTTTAAATAAGATCCTTGGGTGGTCCTGCTAAGCTTCCTACCCTAGAACTAATGTAATGCTGAGATGGTTTTTTATATAGTCCATTAATTTCACACTTTTTTGATTGGCTTCCATGTGCTAGGTTTAGAGAACCTACTGGTAAACAAAGTAGACATAATCCTTGTTATCATGGAGATTATAGTCTAGTGGTGAGAACAATTAATAAGAAACAAACAAATAAAAATGATGTCATGAGGAATTCTATGAAGGACATTGTGATAGCAAATGAGTGGTTAGGAATGGTGATATTTGAGCTGAAAGTTGAAGGCTAAGGAGCCAGCCATGCCAAAGACGGGGGGATGGAGGAGGAGGAGAGAAGAATGTGTCAGCAGAGGGTATAAAAGTTGGAAGGCAAAATATATGTCAACGTGCTTGAGGAACTGAAAAAAGACCATGAACTCTTAGAAACTGAATGCCAGATAACAAGAGGTTTAAGTGGCCACTCCTGTAAATAGTTCATCGGCCCCCTTCATGTGTACACTGTTATATCCATCAGGTATCAGATTGAATTAACAGATGTTTATAGATCTGGGATATCTCAAGTGGAGAAGGGTGAGGGGAGGTGGGTGGTTACCCTGATATCAACATTCAGTCTTTTTTGTTTCATTGATGGATGCATATATTTCTCTCTTGCCTGGCCAGTGGGTGTTTATGATTTATTTCCATTACCTTGCTAAGGGTCTCTAGTCTTGAATGTCTATCAGTATAACTGCTCTGGCTTGAAAATACTTTATATAATTATTTCTAACTGGTGTTTCCTGGACTACTGTGAAGGGGAATCAGCAGAAAGGAAGAAAGAGGAGGTAATTGACACAGTGAGGCTCTTTTCAGGGACGAAGGGGTTGGATTCAAAGCCAGGAGAAAGGTTGGTTTGGGGGAGGAAAGAGAGGTGGGAGAGCACATGATGTATATAGATGCAGGTCACTTCGTAGGTGCATTGGCAGGAAGTTTGAGCAGTTATTTTATGGTTTCTGTTTTTCAAGGATGTAAGACATAAAGGTATCTGCTGATAAGGAGGTGAAGTAAATTATCTAATCAATAAATATATATATACAATATAGAAATTGATGATAGCCAACCCTCTACTGTAAGGTGACAAACTCACCTGGTATGTTAAGTACCAGACAGACGAAGGATGAATTTAGAGGACCCAAGAGATGGATTGTCAAGGCTCATAGACAAAGCAGTAAGTATCTGAATGTTCTTTGAAAAATGTGAAATATTTCAAAAGGTGAAGATTGCGGAAAATTTAAGATGGAAATGGTGTGAAGGCACGTGCATCGGGGAAAGAGAAGGCAATCAGAAATAACTTGAGTGCTGAATCCATGGTGTAAAATGGTGAGGAAGGAAGTAAGAGTCAGAGTAAGGGTCAGACTGTAGGGTCAGGGCCAAGGCCTCATCCCTGGAGCAGGATGATGTGAGCAGGCTGTGCTTTGGGAAGCCCAGTCGGAGGGCACACCCCAGGAGGGAGTGGAGAGGAACGTGCTGCACAGAAAGGCGGGCAGGAAGGCACTGCAGTCGTCAGAAGAGAAGTGATGTGGGCATGGAAGGATGAAGGTACTAAGCGTGGACGGGGGATGCAAGAGACACCGTCCAGGAAGAGTCTGAAGCAGTCCTCAAACTCCTCCAGTCTGTGCTGGTGTTTTCTCTCATCTAGGATAAAATGGCCTGGGGAAGCTAGATATGCCCAATTGCTCGTTGTTTGAATTCAAAGTTTAGCAAACATTACATGTAAAATGTCAGGTTTCTTGAGGTATAATTTATATAAATTAAAATTCATGCTTTTGAAGGGTACATTCCCTACATTTTCAGTGTTAAAATGTCCTTTCTTTTAAGAAATGGTAGTGGATCTAGATGGTAGTAGTTTTCCTAAGGTTGCCATTCACAGAACAAAGTTTAACGCCTCTCTTTTGCGTTGCCACAATTATGGGGGAAATTTGAGTGGTCCAGAGAAATCTAAAAATCTGGACACTATTGAGTTTGTGGAGACTTATCAAAGGAGGAATTTGAAAAGCTGGGAGGATGGTATATGGCAGAGAAAGGAAACACAGGGGCAGATGCTTTCAGTGAAGATGGAACGGAAGTTTTGAATGTGTGAGGGACCTGGAACCTCTCTAGAATCTAGATTTCCTCTCGATTCCAATCCAGAAGTGGCTCCACCAGCACGGGCACAGGGCCTGGTTTCCACGCATGGCTCTGC